AAATGGTTTTAAAGGAAAATTATTCCCTTGTTAACTAAGAAAATTTTACATTATCGAGGCTTTTACTGTCAAGCACTAATAATAGTCCAGCATTAATTCCCTACCTACAGTTCTTGTTTCTAATTGTTTAGGTATTAAGTAAACCAGTTATACAGCAGATAGATATATATATATTATATTATATGGAAATTAACACTTGATCAAACAATAACATACAGGCAAAAATACTGAGTTTCTGCTAAAATTAACATGGTTTTCTATCACTAGTCAAGTGTACAGAACCTGTATGTAATATCTTAAATGAAAGATTTTTTAAAAGTAAATAATAGACATTGTAATTTTATTGAAAATTAATTTATTAACCAGGTTTTCCGAAGGAAAAAACTGGTTATTAGATTGAGGTATGTCGGCGGGCGGATGGGCGGGCGGGCGTTAACAATTTCTTCTGTGCGCAACTCCTCCTACATTTCTCAACAGATTTTGACCAAACTTTCACAGAAGCTTTGTCATCAAGTGCCCTGGCGCATATTGTCGGGGTTTTGCCATTGGATAATATTTGACCTAATTATGGCCCTTTGTTGTTTTTTCTTATATAGAATATATAGTGAACAATTTCTTCTGTGCGCAACTCCTCCATCATTTCTCAACGGATTTTTGACCAACTTTCACAGAAGCTTTGTCATCAAGTGCCCTGGCACATATTGTCGGGTTTTGCGATTGGATAATATTTGACCTAATTATGGCCCTTTGTTGTTTTTTCTTATATAGAATATATAGTGAACAATTTCTTCTGTGCGCAACTCCTCCTATATTTTTCTACGGATTTTGACCAGACCTTTACAGAAGTTTGTCATCAAGTGCCCTGGCACATATTGTCTGGGTTTTGCCATTGGATGATATTTGACCTAATTATGGCCCTTTGTTTTTTTTCCTTATAAAGAATATATAGTGAACAATTTCTTCTGTGCGTAACTCCTCCCTACATTTCTGAACGGATTTTGACCAAACTTTCACCAGAACTTTGTTATCAAGTGCCCTGGCACATATTGTCGGGGTTTTGTGATTGGATAATATTTGATGTAATTATGGCCCTTTGTTTTTTTTCCTATACAGAATAATAGTGAACAAATTCTTCTGTGCTGAACTAGTCCTACATTTCTCAACAGATTTTGTTCAAACTTTCACAGAAGCTTTATCAAGTGCCCTGGCGATATTGTCAGGGTTTTATGATTGATAATATTTGACCTAATTATGCCCTTTGTTTTTTTTCCTTATACAGATTTATCAATATATAGTGAACAAATTCTTCTGTCTGAACTAGTCCTACATTTCTCAACGGATTTTGTTCAAACTTTCACAGAAGCTTTGTATCATGTGCCCTGGCGCATATTGTAGAGGTTTTGTGATTGGATAATTTTTGACCTAATTATGGCCTTTGTTTTTTTCCTTATACAGAATACATTTTTTCCTTATACAGAATATACAGTGAACACTTCTTCTGTGGCAATTCCTCCTACATTATTCATGTTTTACATTGCACATAGTTACATTGTTTATTGCTTGCATTTGTATTACAAATACAACATATTTATCTACAATGGAAATAATTGAAAACCTGGTTTCGTGGCATTGCCATGTTTCTTGTCTCTGCTGCTTTGTTAGCTGTATTTTGCAAAGTAATATGTGAAAACTTTAATATAAATTTTTAAAAAATATTCAACAGTTGCTAACTGCCTTTATGTTGTATTTGTGTAATGATATCCTTTATTTGGTACAACTACCTTTTATGTTGTTACACTTTAGTCATATTTAATTTAATGTTGTATTAAACTGTTATCTGTTGTCACAGTAAGTGTTTGTCAGAATAAGATTAAATAATAAATGAATAATAAATGGACACTGTGTTTAGTTCTTCTAGGTGTTTGGACTTTACATCTCCTGGATGTTTCACCCCTGTACGTTTCACCCTCAAAACCCTGGTCTTTCATCTCCACTTTTTATTATATTATGGTATCTCTAAACAGTATTATAACCTGTTAGCACTATAGAAATGCAATAGAACCATTTGGTGTTGATTGTTGCAAGTGTTATAAAATACACATTACACACACAAAAAAAACAGGAATAGGTCCGTTGCTATATCTCATGACATGTTCATTTTACATTACACCTTTCATGCAGCAAACCTTAAGTCTTCACAAAAGTAGTATGCAATCGTACCTATATTACATACGAATGTATGTAATATTTTTCTTGTTTAATAATGTTTTTCTGAGTAAATTTCCTTCATACTCTATGTAGCTGAGAAGATAAAGGTGATGGTCATGTAATGAGATATTGCAACATAAAATTTATGCTTGTATATTGTTTATGATATCAGTAATATATTTTGTTGTTATCAAACACATCTATATTTATATATTTATTTTGGTTCTCATTGACAGGGAACAAGTAAACATTTATAAATTGTTTTAATTCAAATATTTGGTATGGTATAAACATTTTAAGTACTGTGTATAGTTTTATCATGTTTTTATTTACCACAGATATTGTTTGTTTGGTTTGTTTCTATGCCAATTTTAACACATTTTTTGTCTTACTTTGGCATTCAGTCCACTTTAGCCAGCTTTCCAAGAATACTAACCAGTAATAACAAATTTTTCCACAAACCAACTTCTTATCCCTAATGACAATGTAAAGCTGGCATTTTAGCTTGGTCCCTTTGGCTTGATCACTTCAGGCAGTTAAGACTGTATTTGTTTTAACGTTAGAATGACAATGTAAAGTTCAAAACTGACATAGATGGACATAAATATTTTTGACCACCAATGTGGTTATAAATGAACATATTGACTCGATACAGCGTAAAGTGATATCTGAAGAACACCATGTTTAAATAGTGGTTTAGCAAGAAACTTGGTTAAGATGTAGAATGAATATGAAATGTTCATTGTTACATTGGTTTATAGAATATGTAAACATTGGCTTATATTATGCAGTCTATGTTTCCAGGAAAGACGATGACAAATTATTAGTTCAAGGATAGGACTTACAGGAGATATCACACATTTCCCATGTAACAAGTGCATATTGACTTGTTTTCTTTACCTCGTCCTACTCATTTAACTTTAATCATCCTAGAGTAATTGATTACTGAAGTTAATGATCGAATAATCTGCTGTCATATTTAATAAAAACAATCTTTAAAGTTAATTATTACAGTAGAGCTGCTCATAAAAACTTATCATATAACATATAATAATGCCTATACGTTTTTTGTTGTCATGTTAATTTTTACAATTTATCATTTCAACAATTAGGTCTCAACAAATACTGCTTTTTTTACTACATTATGTACAAAAGCCTGCATTTGATTAATGTGTTTGTATGCACACACGCATATGGTGTTGAAATAACTTAATAATTTATACCACTTTCTTCACTAAAATATCCCATTAATAATGAAGTTACTTCATACAATGTTATAAAATAAAGTTGTGTACTGACTACATGATTTGGTTTAAGTAAAATATGCTTAAGGGTAATTTTCTTGTATGCTTTTAATAATTTATCAACATTTTCTATAGTTTAGTCTTTTCTGCACTGAATTTGTATACTGGCATGCGAGCAGTTCCCGTACAGAAGCAGTACCCGTATTTTTCATTTAAACGCTTGATTTTTGCTTGTATTCTTCAAAAATTCATTTCAAATCAAGCAGATACATAAACAAGACAAAATCTAAGTGTCAGTTCGGCAGTACGTATAAAAAGGCTGATTTTAAATCACTTTCACACCTGTGGCGTCGTCAAAAACGTGACCTTTTTTTCTCTGGGGATTCCGTCCTTGCGCGCATGCGCGCAAAAATACTTACACTTGAGGCTTGTTAAAGGGTTTTCTACTTATACCACCTGTTTACAGATAAGTAGGCAATGTCATGAAAACTTGTTAATTATCAGAATTTTGACCAATATTACTATATAAAAATAATTTTATGGCTTTGATGCGTAAAATATCATGCAATACAAGCATGTTATTGCATGTGAATGCGTTGGGGTAACGTACGTGGTAATAGATACCCGCGTTTAGTCTACGCTCTATTTCCTGAATTACATCTATTTATCTCTTAGATAATGGTCTGTTCAACAATTGTAAATGAAAAATAGGTCCGATATAATAAAATTGTATAATTACAATTGGTTAGATTTTATGTACGGGAACTACTTCTCTTCATACAAAATAATGGATAATTTCGGTACCCCATTTGAGGCCTCATAAGTAAGGGTTATTCTATGTTTAGAACATGATGGAATTTCCATGATTTGTGTGACGAGCCGAATATTGATGTGCAAAATTCAAATTTTGGTGAGTGAGCGTAATAAAAAATAATGTTTAAGTAACTATGATTTTTGTACGGGAACTGCTCGCATGCCAGTAGTGCTTATGTCTTGTTTTGTATTATAACTTTAGAAATACAATTATGGCCAAAGGATAAACTTGGCAACAAGTGTCAAATCTGGTTAGTCTGAATAGACTTGCAAACTGACCAGACATTACACTGGTAATGTAGCTACACACTTAATGTTCAGTGTTTCAATCAAATTGTTTAACTATCCCATTATCTTCTGTTCTCAAGTTTGAGATTGTTAATTTTTGTTGTTGTTTAAGAAATTTTAAAAGCTGACAAATTGATTTTTGCTTAATTCCAGTCAAATCCAGTTATACCGAGCTAGTTTGGGTTATTATTTTTGAAACAGTTGCAATAAAATCAGAATATTTTATATCTAACAATTAAATGTAAAATGCCAGAAGTCTGTAAACTATTACAGAGACATCTCCCAATGGTCATTAATACATCGGAGAGAAATATAAAATCATTACAAATGATCACATTTTTCAAGGTAAATGTTACTATTGTTACGGTAATTATACGTCTAATGACATTCACTTTCTTTACGACTCCTGTATGGCACATTCCGTATGCCACAGTAACCTACAACATTTTTCTGGAATTAGGTTATGACATTTAATTGTATATAAATACTTACATTCAACTGTGTATCAAATATAACAAGCTTGGCACTTGTTGGAATTATATCATAACATTTGTGTGCTCTCATAAACTTCGCAAACACAACATCGGCATTCTCATCTACAGAAAAACAAAACAAAACAAAACATAGCCAATAAATATCATGTATATACATATTCTTTCTATGACAAAAAAATGATTCCTGTAATTTGTATTACCTTAATGGATTGTATATTACTAAATTGATTTGTATACATTTAACAGTACAATGTATGTAAACAAAACATATCAAATTATCCAGATACAGATTGTTGGTATCCAGATACAGATTGTTGGTACTGTGACAAAGACTTTATTCACTCGGCAAATATGACAATATCTTAAGACCTGAACAAAGCCGGAATACAGACAGGCAAGACAGAAAGCAACAGCAAAGATGGCCAAATGGAAAAGCAACCAACCAAATTGTTTGTCAGTGTTCAGTCACCTAAACTGTAAATTCATCAAAATGTTTGTAGGCTAACATCTTTTCATGCTTAAACCCTTACTGTGATTTAATGAGTAAAATACGATATTATACTGATGTTACATTCATGTCCAATGACCTCACTTAATTAAATGAATTAAAAGCATTAATAGAATCCTATCATTTCATATCTTTAAATATTTTAATTAAAAAATTTAAAAGTATTAAAACAAACCCAAATCTTCAATCTCCATTCTCTCCATTTCTCCATCAAGGTTAAACTGAAATTGTAAAAAAGGTCAAAGGGTCAAGGACACACTTTCTTTATATGTTAAATAAAGCACAAAATTCAATATATAAAAAGACTGCAATAAGCCACTTGTAAACTGATCATCACATAGGCAGGGTTGTTAGTAAAAAAGAACCTCTTAAATAAGAATCATATGAAAAACTTGATGCTGAGTCAAGGTCATTCAAGTCTTCAAACATCAAACAATACTTTAACAAAGTAGAAAAGAAGAACATTTTTTTTTCTAAATGAAAAAGTTTTTCCCCTCACATTGCAATTGAACAACCTATTATTATTAGAAATGTCAATTAAACCAGTTCAAGTTTTTTAATGAAACATGTCTGTACAGAAAGTTTTCAGTTTGGTAGACTATAAATAGACTGTGATCTACACTGTCAAGTGAAACCTTGCATTAATGTGTCTAATTACCCCCCATCCTCGTGGAAACACCAGCAGGATACTAGAAATCCTACAATTGTCTTCCTGGTAATGTGTTATTTAAGTAGTTTTGAAAGCTATTGTGGTATATTAGTGCCAGTTTTATCACTGTAATCAATAATTCACCAGATAGAAATAGAATTATACATCAGAGGATCAATACCATATCACATCCATTTAACACCTTGTCACAAATACATGCTTAATAAACAGGCAATAATGAAAAGTGAACTCTAACCATCTTTTGATTACATTTTCAACATGAAAATAGCTATTTGTACTGTCAAGCAGACCATGCTTAATGTCCTAGCTCTAATTCTAGACTTTATATCTGTTTAAAAAAACTTCAAGGGACAAACAAATGTTTATACTTATAACATGTTTATATCATCTGTAGATTAATAAAACTTTCAGAGTTCATATTCTTGACCCTGACTTGATAATTTCAAGTAATCTATTTCTAAGCAACCATTTCAGAAAGGTCAATGGTAGAAATGATATTTTATACATGACAAAAACCAAGCCAGACATACAATTCATATGGACACTCTTTGTAAAGGTTTTAATTAACATTTAAAACCAAACATTTGAGCTATTTCAAAGGTCAACAATTTACCAGCAGACAAGAAGCTTTTACTACTTTGCATTGATTATTGTAAGAAAACAACAAGTATTATCAAAGTATGTATTTATTTGTAGAATTTATTCTGCCTTTGTACTCACCTTAACGGTATTTGGACTCTCTGGTCGGTAGATAATAGCGTGGGAGTGGTCATTCTGGAAGGGAGACAATCTGCTCGGTAATGGTGGGGCAGACTTGGGCTCATTGGATAGCGAGGATGACCGCAGGGGAGACACTGTAAGACAAAAAACACAAAATAAAATTTATTTTAAAGTTAAAAAATATATTTAATACATAATCACTAAATTATAACATTTATTTAACAATTTAGCTGTGTAAAGAATTCTAGGTTAGAAATTCAGCTTGTCATCCAATCAAAATTCACATGGTCAGTGATAGAAATACTTAAATATTCCGGTTAAACCAAGAATACTTCAGTTTTTCTCCTTATGTTTTAAAGACTTTTCTAAAATAATCAAAAAAATTAATTTCAAAAAAAGACAGATGTATATCTGTATACCCTGAATTTGAGAAATGACCTTGTCCTGTTTTGAAATTAGAAAGTCCATTATTTATTTCAGGGGTAATTTTCTTGAAATAAGCCTACTGATATGACTGCCACTATTCCAGGAGTAAAGAAAAACACTAGTTACCTTTGTCAACAATAGCTTTATACATTTTGTACATAATATCTCCTTTTATCTATTTTTACATTTTAAATATTCCCATATATTATATATATATAGAGTTCACATGTTTTATTGCTACTTTACATTATATCTTACATAGAAAACTGTTGTTGTTGATATTTTTAATGAAGGTCAAAGTTATGCATAAATTATTATGAACATCAATTAAATAATAAAATTATTATGAACATCAATTAAATAATAGCAATTTTATCAGTTTTACATCTACATAACTTTTAATTTCTACATTTACATTAAAATATAAAATGCCAAATTTTAATTCTTATCACAGCTATATATCCTAGACTTTTTTATACACATTTTTTTCACATACAAAATTTGTCATACACTTTAAATAGGATCTGTACTGATATTCAACTGGTGGTGTTATATTGATTGTGGATTATAATAAAATAAATGCAAATCCTTCAACAGTATTCACATGTTATACATTAAAACATCAAGGTTATCAATGATGTATCAGTCAATTTATGCAATGGAGGAGATTAAGTCAAAAATTTTTTATGGCCTTTAAATTTTGTTTAGTCAAATAGCTATTCATAACCATAGTTCTGTTAAAGTAAAAATCTTGAAAAAGGGTGATCCCTCAGAAGCACTTTAACAACAATATATGACAAGAAACACCACCTATCTGGAGCCATGCTTGAGTCAAACACATCATAGGGAGAATGTAATAGTCAAGATTCTCCAAGAAAAAAATAGTGTTCTTGTAAAAAATAAAATTTAAATTTTTTATGTGACCTTGACTCTCAAGGTCATTCAAATGTCAAGTCACATTTGAACTTTAATCATCATGTCAGAAACAAGAGCCACCGCCGGGCGGGGGCAACGCTCGACTTTTTACTTTTCTAAACACAAACATAGAAACTTTTGAACATATCTTAACGTTTCCTTTTTATAAATTTAGTTGGTCTGTCTTGTCACATTAGTTCTGTTTATATATTTTGTATATATATATATGAATAGAAACATTACGCAATTTTTAAAAATAGCAACATGACGCAATTTCTAAAAATAGAAACAATGACGCAATTTCTAAAAATAGAAACAATGACGCAATTTCTATAAATAGCAACAATGACGCAATTTCTAAAAAATAGAAACGATGACGCAATTTCTAAAAATAGCAACAATGACGCAATTTCTAAAAATAGAAACGATGACGCAATTTCTAAAAATAGCAACAATGACGCAATTTCTAAAAATAGAAACAATGACGCAATTTCTATAAATAGCAACAATGACGCAATTTCTAAAAATAGAAACAATGATGCAATTTCTAAAAATAGAAACAATGACGCAATTTCTAAAAATAGCAACAATGACACAATTTCTAAAAATAGCAACAATGACGCAATTTCTAAAAATAGAAACAATGACGCAATTTCTAAAAATAGAAACAATGACGCAATAATAGAAACGATGACGCAATTTCTAAAAATAGCAACAATGACGCAATTTCTAAAAATAGAAACAATGACGCAATTTCTATAAATAGCAACAATGACGCAATTTCTAAAAATAGAAACAATGACGCAATTTCTAACAAGAGGGCCATCAAGAGGGCCATGATGGCCCTGAGGTCGCTCACCTGTATATAGGTCCCTGGAGCGAGGCCAGTTTAAACCCAAGGGCTTTTATTTGAACAAACTTGGAAGACACCCATTAGAAGATGTTTCATGATGTTAAGTTTTTACTATACATATATAATGAAAAACAATGACCTCCAACACCCCCCCCCACCCCCCTGGCAGGGCTAATTTTAACTCAAGGGCTTTTATTTGAACAAACTTGGTAGACACCTATAAGAAGATGTTTCATGCTTAACATCTAAGCTCTAACTCATTGGGTTTTTTAAAAGAAGATTTTTTAAGTTTTTACTATACACATATAGTTAAAAACAATGACACCCCTGGGGCGGGGCCAGTTTTGACCCCAGGGCTTTAATTTGAACAAACTTTGTAGACACTTAGTAGAAGATGTTTCATGCTTAATATCTAAACAGTAGCTATTTGGGTTTTTTCAAAGAAGATTTTTAAGTTTTTGCTATACACATATAAGGAAAATCAATAACCCCCGGGCCAATTTTGACCCTAGGGCTTTTATTTGAACAAACTTTGTAGACACTCACTAGAAGATGTTTCATGCTTAATATCTAAACAGTAGCTATTTGGGTTTTTTCAAAGAAGATTTTTAAGTTTTTGCTATACACATATAAGGAAAATCAATAACCCCCGGGCCAATTTTGACCCTAGGGCTTTTATTTGAACAAACTTTGTAGACACTCACTAGAAGATGTTTCATGCTTAATATCTAAACTCTAGCTATTTTGGTTTTTTCAAAGAAGATTTTTTAAGTTTTTGCTATACACATATAAGGAAAATCAATGACCCCCGGGGCGGGGCCAATATTGACCCCAGTGCTTTTATTTGAACGAACTTGGTAGACACCCATTAGAACATGTTTCATGCTAAATATTTTAGCCATAGCTCTTTGAGTTCTTTAAAAGAAGATTTTATTAAGTTTTTACTATAGTATATGCATATAGGGAAAATCAATGACACCCTGGGGCGGGGCCAATTTTGACCCCAGGGCTTTTTTTTGAACAAACTTGGTAGACACTCATGAGAAGATGTTTCATGCTAAATATCTTAGCTCTAGCTTTTTGGGTTCTTTAAAAGAAGATTTTTTAAGTTTTTACTATATGCCTATAGGGAAAATCAATGACCCCCTCGGGCGGGGCCAATTTTGACCCCAGGGCTTTTATTTGAACAAACTTGGTAGACACTCATGAGAAGATGTGTCATGCTTAATATCTTAGCTCTAGCTCTTTGGGTTCTTTAAAAGAAGATTTTTTAAGTTTTTACTATATGCATATAGGGAAAATCAATGACCCCCTGGGGCGGGGCCAATTTTGACCCCAGGGCATTTATTTGAACAAACTTGGTAGACACTCACTAGAAGATGTTATATGCCAAATATCTAAGCTCTAGCTCTTTGGATTTTAAAAGAAGACATTTAAAGTTTTTTCTTTCGGTTGCCATGGCAACCAGAGTTCTGCATGGAATTAAATTCTTTGAACAATTTTTAAAGGTGACCACCAAAGGAACATTCCTGTGAAGTTTAGATGAAATTGGCTTGGTGGTTTATGAGGAGATGTCATTTAAAGTAAAAGTTTACGGATGGACGGACGGACGGACGACGGACGAAAAGCGATCACAAAAGCTAATCCTGTCACTTTGTGACAGGTGAGCTAAAAATAGAAACAATGACGCAATTTCTAAAAATAGCAACAATGACGCAATTTCTAAAAATAGAAACAATGACGCAATTTCTAAAAATAGCAACAATGACGCAATTCTATAAATAGAAACAATGACGCAATTCTTGTTGTTGTTGTTGTTGTAAATATATATATATACACACACACACACACACCAATAAATATATAATTATGGTCATTTAATGCACAAATCTGAGAAAATTCGGTAATTTAACCTTCAAGGTCAAGGTCATTAAAGAGCCCAAGCAAATTTGGGTTTGATAAACAACGAGGTCTGGTCCTTAAGAATGTTTCTGTTATAATATGAAGTTGATCCCTTCAATAATAGCAAAGTTACAGTCAGTTACCGCCAAAACAATGAAAATTTCAATAATTTGACCTTCAAAAGACAATGTCATTCATGAGTGAAGGTCAAGGTCTTTCGGTATATTTTTAACAGTTATCTTTGAAGATTATTATGTTCAAGTTTCAAGACAATCCAGTTTCAAAAAATAACAAAGTTACAGCCAATAATAGCCAAAAAAATGAAAATTTCAATAATTTGACCTTCAAAGTCAAAGTCATTTATGAGTGAAGGTCAAGGTCTGTCTAGTTATTTTTAAGGGATATCCCTGAAGATAATTATGTTCAAGTTTGAAGACAATCCATTCAAAAATAACAAAGTTACAGCCAATAATAGCCAAAAAAATGAAAATTTCAATAATTTGACCTTCAAAGTCAAGGTCATTTATGAGTGAAAGTCAAGGTCTGGCGGGTTATTTTTAAGGGATATCCTTGAAGATTATTATGTTCAAGTTTGAAGACAATCCATTCAGAATAACAAAGTTACAGCCAATAACAGCATGAACAAGCAAAAAATTGGACTTTTTAACCTTGAAGGTCAAGGTCATTTATGGATGAAGGTCAAGGTTAGTGTGGTCTACTGGAAGGTCTTGTCCCAAGGGTTGTTGTGGCCAAGTATGAAGACAATACACCAAGAAATAAAAAAGTTATGATCCAGGTACAAGTTTGCGGACGGCAACGGCAACGCCGACCTGACTATAACAATACTCTACTTTTTTTTTCAAAAAAAAAAAAGTCGAGCTAAAAATGTAACAACACTGAAGTGAAGAATGGGGCAACTGTTTACAGGTGCCAAGGCAAGTTCTGTTTCAGTCATCATATTCTCCATAACCCTAGATCTGTTAATGTCAAAACAATTCCCATAAACCCAGTTCTGTTAATGTCAAAACAATTCCCATA